TAGCTTTTCCAACGACGTGTTACTGGCGCTTAACATGACTCTATGGAACCTAACCACAAATACAAAAAGCCGCCACAGGGCACTAAAGAAGCAGTAAACAGGAAGCGCTTGAACGCGTCCACAAAGCTATCAAAAGATTATGATATTTCATCTGTCTCGTCCTTGAGTTTGCACAGCAGTGTATTTTGCGCCATTCTATCAACTATACATTATCATATGAACGGCGGTGGCCCATGGGTCAGATATGCTTTAGCTAAGCAATACGGTTACGAATCGAACTGCAAATGTAGATTATGAGGAAGGTCTTTCAGGAAATGCAAGCTTTTCAAAACGGTTTTTTGCATGATATAGGGTACATGCATGGAACACTGAACTATAGTTCATTTTTCCTGAGCGGCCCTTTGAATACCAAAAAAGGGGTTATGAAGTGGTCCGTGGTTCGAATCCTCACAGTGACAATTTTTTTGCATTTTATGTTCGCGCTCCAAAGTTTACGAAAAAGGATGTCAGCGTGAATAGCAGATGTCATATCTATAACTAGGAGCAACAGCAACCTTCATACGTAGATTTTGACTAAAAAATCTGGTGGAGAAAGTTGCGATACCAAAACGGCCGTCGTTAGCGCCCAATGGCGTCATAGCGAATTCAAATGACGTTTACGCTAAAAACTAATAGAATATTCGTAATCAGGACGCCGAATAACCCCTAACCCGAAAGTTTCAGGGAAAATTAAGATTTCGTCCCAACTTCGAACAGTTGGACCATGGGTAGATAGATCACTAGCCCGTCAGGCTCATTGGTAGATAATTTGGAGGCGACCTCCTTGTCATCTTTCACGGAATGCGAAATCCTTTCCCGTAATAGACAATCGTAGACACTCAAGCCGACGATTGGCGAGAAGTCACCAATGACTATGTCATTAGGTTCCCCTCATTGTCAAACAGTGGCAGGTTGGGCTTCTGGTCATATTTCTGGCTGGGTCTACTGCCGATAGCTAGATCAGCTGCAAAAAACGCAAAGTTGTGTGAGACTTGCCCTGCAAGGGAACCTCGGTTTCCGTGGTAATCACTAGGACGGACCCTCCTATTCCACGTTAGCCCTTCTGCAAGCCTTCCGGGGGCAATTTGTTTATGAGTTATAAAATTTCTCCCGATGCACACACAAGTTCGTGAGAGACCGATACGAATTCGCAGTCGTAGGATCTCAAAACGAACATAAAACCGCATTATATGCATGCGCAGGAGTGCTACGATCACAGGAAAGACAAAGAGAAAAAAGCATAAATTTGAACTGTGGGGCAGTCGAACACCAACAGCGCCCTTCCCCTCCGCTTCACATAACTATGCCATCCGGGACTTAAAAAAAATACCGCTGATAGCTCGCGCTTCATACGGCGCTGCATGAATAATACACAACAGTTTCAATACATGCCAAGGAGATCGTTTTATTTTTGACCGAATTCCGCACTGTTTTCAATGTACAATTCATGAGAACCTTTCGATATGACACTGGTCAACGCTGTGTGCAATGTACGTCACAAAAAAGTGAACTAGAACGGCAGTTCCTTAAAAAAATTTTCTTCGCTCCTTTTTTGGTATTCAGAGGGCCGCGCTCAGGAAAAATGAACTGCAGTTTGGTGTTCCATGCATGTGTCCCTATATCATGCAAAAAACCGTTTTGAAAAAGCTTGGCATTTCCTGGAAAATGTGACTGCTTAGTTCAATCAATTCAATCTCCCTTTCCTCATTCTACACTGATTTTGCCATCCTATTTCGCTGACACGATGCGGGCAAGCAACGCCATTTTGGCCGGAAACCCCTTCTCCCCAGCTAGCTTGCTTTTTGGTTTTGAGTTCCAAAGAAGGCACTCGGTGGGCCGAACTGACATGTTTGCGCGCATGCCCTAACCGCATGTCCCACGCGGCGAAGCCAGCCGTCAATGTGTTGATTAAGTGTATTTCTTGAATTCATTGGGTGACAACACCATTTCCACTTATTACAGGGAGGAGTGATGGTGCAGTAGAACTGCGGGAGTGGTCTATTCGATTTGCTCCACTGTGCCGCAATGGTCCAGTTCTTAGTTTTCCCAATTTCGTTCTTCTGGGAACACGAGAGTAAGTTCACCCACGACCATCTATGCTAGAATTTTGTAACAATTTTGCACCTGGATTCTACAGAGATCACCCCAGTCAGTGGCAGTCGTCAATAGTCGTTCGCGTCGAGAGCGCTCGCATTCTGTATACAAGTTCTACCAAGTACTTGCTTGTTGGAGAAATTGACGTTGTGGACTGTGCTTCCGCAGGTTTGTAGCTGTGTGTATTCTGTTGAGCTTTTCTCAGCTGTTGTTTTCAGGTTTTCCAAAAGATTTTGTTGCACAGTTTTTGACAGGATTCCCTCCTGACTGGAGAACACAGATAACGCGACTGTATAAGTAAGTTTCGCTCCTAATTTGTAAATATTATTGTTTTATAGTTCCACCCTAACGAAGAGTTATGTGTTTAAGTAGTGTTTTCGGACACTTGGAAAATAGCAAAAACGTTACCGGATACCGCAGTGATTACCGGGATGGAATACCCCGACAACACCTTTTCGACAATGATGAAGAAATCGAAAATTTCCAGGAATCCCATTGCGTGAGTTACTTATCAATTATCTACTCTTCTAACCATAAGATTACTTACACGACAACTATTCTTTGCAGATGAATAGTAAGAATATTCCGAGAGCGAAGGCCCACACACAAAACACTTCTGTCGATAGTAAGTCTCCAACTTCTAGAGTGAATGTTATTGCCAAATGTAACCATTCAAGCAGAATTGGTGTCACACAATCATTGCGATCTGAGTCCACTTTTGTGTCCATTTTTTCAGATTCTATCAGATATGGCAACAGCAGGAGTTCTGACAAATCCCTGGTTTCCAGCTGCAAGCAATCGACTGATTCTGGTCAGTTTTTTGCCATATTGGAAAGGGGATGTATGATTATCCTTTCTCAAATGCATGAAAATTACACAATTAAGCAATCCGTCGCTCTCGAAGTGGCCGGTGTATTCGATCGCCTTTGGCAGAGTGGGCTGGGCAACGTGTGCGATACGATGGCGCTGGTAACGTAATCGGGGTAGAAGATATGAAAACTTCTACAGTGCACTCCAAAGGAGTAAACAACGCAGTTAGTCATCAACAATCTGCGAAACCGAATTCATTTTTTTCACTTCGATGTTTTCTAGTCGACAGTCTCCATTCATTACGGTCTACAGCCACCACTTGAGCCAACACGAATTGAGAAGTGCTCTAGAATGTCGAAGATAGCAGCTGCTGGCGGGCCCAAACAAGTTTCAAGAAGGAAAGCCGTGGTACGCCTCCTCTTTGCTAATTTTGTTTTCAGCAACAATGTCCTAACTTCGTGTTCTACCAACAGGTAACGCACAGCGACACTTCGGACAATGAAAATAGTAATCGCCTTAGAAAATATGTGCCACTGCAATCATCTGACGATGAAGTACCCGTACGAAGACACATCAAATCTAAAGAGGTATGTTTGCTTTGTTCTTAATTACCGCTCTATGTGCTCGATTATATGTAGCAGCGGAGTAACTAAGTCATTGTCAGGTGCTTTGGGATGAGGACGAGTACGAGAGACAGCTACGAGAGGAACGCCTCCTCTTTCTGGAGGGGGCTAGAGATCTTCGTAAAATGCAAAAGAAACTGCTGGTACTGGAACGTCGCATTACCGAAAAAGAAGCGCTTTGGTTGAAGCATCGAGAAAAAGAGAGGAGAATGCAACGTGAAAGGGAGTGTTACGATGTTGTCACGAAGCGGAGAGAAGGAAACTTGCGAGAAACATACAACGCTAAAAAAGGTGGATACGCTTATAATTTAATGGCTCGTTTTGTTGTTTGAGTGTTTTCATGGAATTAAAGGCCAGCAGAAGCACCATAAGCTATCGAGTCGCCGTTACGGTGACGAAGAAAGACGACATTCGGTTGAAGAGGAGTTGGAAAGGAGACGTCTTGAAGAAGAATGGGCTCGACAGAACGAGCAAAGCTCACAATCGTCAGATGAGATCGACGATGATAGCTGGTGTGAACCAGGTTCGTGTACCAGGTTCATTGAAGAAGCTGAGCGCTGTTTGATTTGTGGATCATTTACTTTTGGTTTCAGTTCGCAAAAGAAAAAAGCGGCCAGTACGGAAAGTCGTTGTGGAAAGTTCTTCTTCCGAACTTTCTTCTCTTGACGTGAGTTATTCCAATGAGTCGAAGTAGGCAATTGCACTGGTTCATTTGGCACAGGGGGAATAAGGGCTGAGGGTTCTTTGCTTCAACAAATGGAGCTTTTTCCGTTCCGTTTAATTCTAAGCATGAGTTACTACTAAATCTTACTACTTGAGGATGAACAAAGTGACGAGGAAGGAAACCTCAGGTCGAAAAGAAATGATAGGGAGCGTTATGAACCAGTTGTAAAGAAAGAAAAAGGCTGGAGCAAAGCAGAATTGCACAGATTGAAAGTAAGAAGCATTTATTATTGCCAATCGTCGATTTCAAATAGATGATTTTCTATTGCAGTTAGCTATGGCTGCGATCCGAGTGGTCAATGATGATGACTGGGAAAAAGTAGCGCGTTCCTTAGGAAACACTCGTAGTCCGGAGTCATGTAAACAGGTTTGAAATTATATGGGCCGCTCTTTTACTTATACCACAAGAAGTGGACGAGAATCCTTCGAAACAAGCTCTTCAGAAAACAACCGTTCGTCTGCTTGTTTTTATAGAAAAGACGAGGTTATCAAGGTGACTTGATTGAATAGTTAAAGAGGCCTTTCTAGGCGGCCATCAAACGTCTGAAGTGGGAACCACCTGTCGAAAATGAAGAACCAGCTCCAGTTACCTCGGAAGTAGTAACTGCTCGCGCAGGAACTATTGCTTACAGGCATCAGACGAATGAGTATACGAGGTATTTATGTCCTTCTTTAGCACTTAAATAGTGGTGATATTACCAAGTTTTGCAGAAAGTTTATGATGGGAGCTGGAGAACAAAACGACGACTTTTTCGTGAGAAACGGCGTTACCCTCAACGAGGTACGACTTTGTGCTCCGTGTTTCAGTCCTGTTGTTACATCAACCTGCACTATCAGCTCATGCTTACAGAGCATACCCGATGTTACCGAATTCGGCGCTGACGATTCGCTGCTAGAGGTTCTACGTACGCCCGTGGATGTCGTTGCTCAGAGAAAGGTTGCAACACCGCTAGTGATTGCTTGCGTTTGGTCTGCTTGGGCTCATTTTCAACTTATTTGAGGGCCCAAACCGTCGCCAGTTCTTCGTGGAGCCTATCGATGATGACACGCCAATTAGAAGGAGAAGCAGTGCTGCTCTTATGGCTACACCAACGAATTCCGCTCAAAGGTGCACCGAAAGAAGAAACTGCTAGAAACTAGAAAATTACTCTTGCATTTGTAGGGAACGCCATGACCGTTATCTTCATCATATCATGAATAAAGGCGGGAATCGCAATGACGTTTCTCGACTGAATCACACACGGAACACTACTCGTCTTGATACGTTTCGAGATGATTTAGGCAGGACGAATGTGAGTGTTATACGTTTTACGAAAAATGAAATTCGGTACACGAACAATTTTCCTTCCTCACCGTAAAACTTGAGATGAGGAACGTGGGTCAAGCTTAACATCATCAGTCCACATCTAAACCTAACTTATTTGCTTTGTCGGGTCGCAACCTTGTAACACACATCCTGTTATTGAAATCTGTGTCAACCTATTTTCTCCACATGTCAGCTCCACATCAAATTCGCTCCATGAAACCTTTAAACGTTGCTATTTTCAGATGAACACATTCGCTGAACTCCACGAAGATCTCGAAGACGTAGCGAAAATGACGAAAAAAGCGTCACGAAAAAGAAATGAGGAGCTGGACAGCTCAGACAATGAACTGGAGCTGGATGAAAATCACTTTGATGACAGCATGGACTACAGCGGTTTTCAATCGGATTGAGAGGATCACGAGAGCACACAGTGACTAGTGTAGTACTAATTTCGTGAAATTAACAGGCGTACTTATATGATTATGCTTAACTAACGGAGAAGGCTTTGACTTCCTTTCAAATGCATGCATCTCGTAATCTACTAACATAAGAGTTCGCTACTCAGTAGTTTGGAAGGCACTTATTCGAAAAAAATATATTGTCGTTTCTCATTGCTTATTGTTGATAAGTAAGTTCGGATTTGGAAATGTCACTTAATGAAGTTAGATAGAGCGTAAAACGTGAGTCCCCCACCTTTAATAGTATGTGTTATGTATAGATGCTTGTCTCGAACTAATTACTGTTGCTTTAATTGAAATGAAGGTAATCCAATTACTTTCATCACACTTTGATGGTGAGGAATGAGGAAGTCCAGTAAGAACGATTGTAAAAAAGCAGTTGTAGTCAAGGCAATGAATTATAGCTATGACATAAAAGTCAAGCCTAGCCAAGAAGCTAATGCGCATATGTAGGTATGGCACAGTCAAAACGCGGCAAATTTGTGGGAACATGCGAGCTGTTTTTGAGATCTCAACAACCGCAATGAAGGATTGATATCATGAAATGATGAGTTCACAGATGGACGGCTATTAATTAAAATGAACGGTAAGCATACGGCTCTTGCTCGATTTGGGATGTGCCATGAATTCGATTTTCATTAGAATCGTGTCGTGATTTGGACTAAATAATAATTTGCGGCGACCACCAAACCCACAAAACCAAGGATTTCAGCAGGTTCAGAATCGCAACCCGGGAGACAACATTCCGAATTAGAGAAGATGCGAGTGTTTCGTCCACGGACAACTGCGACCAATGACCCTCGCTGTTATTGAACCAAGTCTACTCAATCTCGGCAACCTCCACGCGTTGTACCCCAATGAAGGTCTAGCGAGCCTTTGAGCTCCTTGTGGTACAAAACTCGTCTGATAAATTCAACTGTGGTCAACAATACACCTGCTTCCGCCATTCGTGAATCATCTTAATGGAATATCGACAATTCCAATAAATTCGAGTTATTGATAACAATCAGAAAAGAAAATAAAAAAAGTTGAAGTAGCTAAAGACATGCGTCAACGAGAAATATGATAAGTTCACTCCATAAAACGGCTTTTAGAGCGGGTACCAGGAATTGGTGTGAGTTTAAGGATAGGAAGAATACTTGAGGCAAAGGAATGCCCATTAGATGAAGGGTTTCCGATGCAACAATTTTTATTACTCTTAAAACCACATAAACAAGGAGATATAATTATGGACTTAATTTAACATTCGATAAGTATTATTTATCACCCAACAAAAGGAGAAAACCGTTAAAGTACATACTACAAAATCGCTTTCCAAAGTAACACACAGTAACGATCAATACGTGGGGAGAGGTAAGTGAGCGTGGCAGTAATTTAGTCCATCCTTCCTTTCAACGTGCTGATGTTGACCTGGAAATAACATTTCACAAAAGAACTCATCCTTGAACAAAGAGTATGAGCGGAAAGTGTCAGAAAAAAGAGACACTGTCGTAGCACTGATATTTCCAGGTAAGTACAGATACCTTCCTACAAGGACTGTGTGCGACTGTATTCATAGATTTTAAGAGCCAGCATATGTTGGAAAACAACACAAAAGTATAGAAGCTCATACATTGTATTGTTAAATTAGGTTTTTTGATGGAGAACTTCTCCTCGACTGCATGCTTCATTTCAGCATTAGCTGTGATTTACGTTGAATGTAAGGCTTGCGAAATGGAAAATTCAGACGACGAAAATTAGCCAAATCGACATCTAACAGAGATGAAGACCCTCGTTACAATAAATACGCCCGAAGACAAAAAAAAACAGTGGTAAAGCTAGGACGTCACCCGGAAGTGGCGCGCAGAACCCCCGCCCGAGTTCTGTGGTCAGTATGCGAGGGCTACCGAGGAGTGAACGGCCTCGGCCAAAGAAGCTAGTTCGAATTGGGACTCTGAACGTAGGATCGCTAACTGGGAAGTCCCGAGAGGTTGCTGATCTGATGACGCGCAGGAATATCCAAGTCCTATGCCTTCAGGAGACGCGATGGAAAGGTGCTAAGGCCAGGGAAATCGGGGAAGGTGTCAAGCTCTACTACAATGGAGAAGACACCAAGCGGAACGGCGTGGCCATAGCGGTAGCGGAGTCATCAAGGACTATGTCTCCGCTATGGAACAGAACCAGCTGTCCGATCATGGCCGTGAAAATAAAAACAAAGGAACTGTCAGCGTACGCAACGCAAGCCGGATGCCCTGAGAGTGAAAACGAGTTCTATCTGAACCTTAACGATGCCATCAGATCGATTCCGGAAGGCGATTACCTCACCATAGCAGGTGATCTGAATGGAAATTACCTAGCAAAGAGTGACCTCAAGAGAAGGATAATGGAAGTTGGTCTCCCAGATCCTGAGGGACCAGTGCAGCAGACTTGGGGCAATGCAGCTGAGATCATCCTACGATGCGCCAAGGAGGTACTGGGCGAGACGCGAGGTGGATTCAGAGGAGACAAGGCAGCGTGGTTCTGGAACGAGGAGGTCCAGCGAAATTAAGCGGAAAAGGAAGCATACAAACACTTGAAGACAAGATTTGGAAGAGGCTTGCTAAGGCAATTGTCAAGGCACAGAACACTGAGAAATGAACACGAAAGAAGTTGGAAAGCAGAAACATATAGATGATTGCCTTCGCATGGCTGAAGCTCGGCACGAGCTACTGAAGATATGATGGAGGTGAAGAGTGTAAGGGCAGCAACAGGCGACATCTTGAAAAAGGCCAACTGAAGTCAAGAGGAGGTAGGAGAAGTATAACAAGAGGCGTTTCCCACAAGACACTTCACAAGCGGAGAAGTAGCTATATCTCAACACCATAACTGCCGAAGAAGGATGCCGCATGCCTGGGGAACAAGTACTATCCTTCCCATCTTTAAACAGAAGGGTGACACAATGGACTGCTCCAGCACTGCAGGATAGGTTGGCTGTGCATACCATGAAACTATAAGAGCGGTTGGTCGACTCAAAACTGCGGCCATGTCAAAAAGATCCACAACGGATGCCATCTTCATCGCAAGGCAAGTGATGGAGAAGTATCGAGAAAAGCGCCGACCCTGCTACCTAGCCTTCCTCGACCTGGAGAAGGCGTTCGACCGGCTACGCGAGCAGTGCTATGGAGGCGCTTAGAGAGGAACCACCAAAACACTTCATCTCTCTGATGGGACCATGCACATTGGGGTTAAGGTCGGAATGTGCACTCCCAAACGGCTTGAACAAAAAAGTAGGATGTCACGGTTGGGGTGCACCAAGGGTCAGCTCTGAGCCCTTCCTCTTCCTCCTAACACTAGATGTCCTGGTGAAGGGGCTCATGGAAGGACCACTAAGACCATCCTCTACGCTGACGACATCGCCCTGATAGCGGATAGCAGAGAAGGAACAGGCCAAGGTGCAGAAATGGCAGAAAGTCCTGGCAGAGGGTGGCTCCGGCTAGATGCCAAGAAGATCAAGTTCCTGAGGGTGAGTTCCTGAGTTTCTGTAGAGGGATAGAGCCTATGAGGACGGCCATGGTGAGACCATCGAAAGGTGGAGGACTTCCGATACCTTGGGAGCGATCTGGCAGCCGACGGTAGTGTGGATCAGGCGGTGAAGGCTCGGGTCAACGCTGCATGGATGAAATGGAGGGAGTCCACTGGAATCCTCTGCGATCGAAGGTGCTCCAGAACGCTCAAAGGGAAGGTGTACCGGACAGTGGTAAGGCCTGCGATGCTATACGGCAGCGAGTGCTGGCCCCTGAACAAGAATCACGAAAGGCAGCTTCACTCCGCTGAGATGAGGATGCTGAGATGGGCCTGCGGCTGGACGCGACTGGACAGAGTCAGGAACGAGGATGTCGGTCATGCGGCACGAATCTCTGTTACTGTAAACACTTCTACCCCTGCGCAGCACAACCGGTAACCCTGAAATAAATCGGAGAGAGAAATGAAATATTTAGGACGACAGCGACTATATGAACATGAGCTCACCACACACGCTACAACCGCGTATCTTGAGAGGGGAAAATGTATAAAGACCTGCACCTAGCTCCTATATGAAAATACGTCAAACGATATATCCTCGAGACAAAAGCCCGCTGGGTATACGAGCAAGGAAAGCATTCAAGCAGTAAGTCGATGCAGAAGGTGCCCTCATTTCAGCCGTCCGAGCCGTCATGTTCGGTTTTTCTTGAAAAAACACCACAGACACCGTGAGCACTTTTATCTATACGGCATGCCATAGTGGGGTAAAAGGATAAGCCCTATAGCAAAATTGCATATGTCACATTCATTGCAGCGACACAAATGTGCCATTAAGCAATTGTACAAGAAAAATAGCACTCGATGATAAAATGGCATAATGTTAAAAGCAAAAGGAAAATGACGAAAAAATCAGCACACCTTATCTTTAGTGATCGTATATATGACGACTCCCCATCCTGAGGCGGCGTCCCTCTCTAAGCATGCAAGCATCGATTGTGCAGTAGCTTCGAACAACTCTTCAGGACTCATGTTTTCCTTCCAGAACGCTGAAATGAAGAAAACAATACATAAATTCTTTCGCAATGCCCAAGAAACCATAACTTTCCAAGAATTTTTTTATCTATTCGATATTGAAAGGTAATCAGTGCTGCCCACAAAGCATCGAAATTGGTAAGCACACGCTTCCATAGAGCGTGCGTGCAGCTGACGTCGTAAGTTACTACTTCTGCCCACACCATCATTGTCTTGAATTTTTTCTAGACATAGTAAAAAAAACGCAATAGACTTTACACGACCTACTTTCGCACACACCGAGCAGGTACTCCTGTCCCGTTCCCACAGCGACAAAATCATTTGGAGCAGCAATACAACCAATCGTATCCATGCCACAGATGTACGGCTTATTCGTATCGGGATCAAGGCCAGCAACCAACGGCTCTGTGAAAAACGAGCCGAAGCGGTGTTGATAAGCGAGATTGGAGATCATCGTCGCAAGTACCTGATATAAAAATTTTCGAATTGGGATCTTTCGTAAATTTAGTGCAACTTCGTAAATCAATGATTAAAGCCAATGTTGAAGGCACGAACTGCTGGCTTAATTTTGCGGTTTTCTCGAAGCTCATACAACGTCTTCCGGAATGTGACTTTCTCCAAAACAGTGACAGCGTCTGAGTTGAAACCAGCTAATCCTAGATATACCTTGTCGGCGATTTTGTGAACCTAAAATTCCAGGAATGCATAAGAAATTAATCAGCCATAGTACTGACAGTTAATAGAAGAACCTTCGACTGATATCTACGATTGAAGAATTCATTTTCTTATTTACTATTCTCGGCTCACCTTTCGCAACACGAAAATAAATTTTAAAAAATGTACATCAAAAGGTCAGATTGAAGTGAGAATAAGAACATCACCTTTTTCTGATCAACGGCAATTGTGGTCATTTGTTCTCCTATCCTCAGATCAGAGGCAATGCAGACACATCTTAAAATAACTCTTTTGAATCAGATTGAACCTTCAAACCAGCAAATTTTTGGAAAATTCTTTTAAGCCTCAGAAACTACTTTTTTGTTCATGGCCTTCCCAATTTGAAGAAATTGGATTATAAATTCTCAGTTTCATTCGAGAAAACCAGGCAACACTTTTCTTGCAACCCTGTCATGTACTCAGGTATCTGTACTGAAGTGAAAGCTTTCACACACTAGAAATTTTCCCTGACTCTTTTAAGCAAACGTATCCTCCCCTTTGAACGTCATTTTCATTGTACAACGAAGAAATGAGCGAAGGTTGCAACAGCGAAATTGAGCTCAGCCGAATCATACCGGAAATGTTACCTATCACTTAACCGTCCTATCCAAACTTGAATACTTACCCCATTTACTTGATGTTATGAAAAATTCTCGAAGAATAAACGGTTTTTTCACATAACCTATTACTTTTCCCACTTCACCAGCTTCATCTCATGACGTAAAAACTGCCGTGGTTTTTTTTGCTATTCCTCCCGCAGAGGCAGAAATGGCAGTTGCAGTGGAAGTGACTCTGTTTATAACCGCATAGTCCCAAGATCTCCTAGATCTTCCGCGACGTATGGCCCGTCGCGGCTTTCTAGAAGAACAGTGTAAACTCGCATATTCCGGCCATTCATACATGGCGAGTGACGCGCCTCAACATCACCCCCTCCCGCTGAACTGCCAGCCTTCCCCCTGCCTCGCGGGCCCTGCGTTCTGCACTTAAGGGCGCGAAACCGCGCGCGTACTCT